ACAGCTCCAGCTGCTACCTCCTGCTGTACCCCGCAGGTTTTTAAAAGCCATCCACACGCTTTTACTGGCTCGAGCAGGAAGCATCCTGCATAGTGCATTGACCCATTTCCACATGCCTGACTTCCCTGTCCACTGTGTAAGCAGGCTCAGTGCCCAACTCTAGGAGATGGCAAGTTATCTAAGATCAAATTGGGTGCCTTTCTACTCAATTCAGCATTCCTGTGCCTACGTCCTTTATGGATCAAGCTCTGACAGGAGGAACAAAGCTATGGGACTAGGTGACTTTCAGATGTTATAGCACTGCACACTTTAGAAGGAAAAGAACCTCCAGGGAGTAAGAAGCCCTTTCTTCAACATGAATCACACAGGACTTAGCATAACAAAAATGAAGAGCAGAAACAAACCTTGGAAAATGTGAAAGCCAAGCACCTGAATTCCCAGGGACATAATGGCTCTAATATAATCAGTTATGACTTCACAAGTGTTTTATGCAACGTGCCTTTCCAAGTATGCATTGCAATATTATATATTGTGTTACCTCCAGTTATAACAAAATGTAAAATAAATGACAATAGATGGCATTTTCCCCCAATTAAGCACTGCAGGACCTTTGTAATACCCTTGAAAGACTTATTTTACTGATAAATTTTACTGAGTTACTCACCATATCAGTGTCTCCAAGATCCAGCTTCTCTAAGGTTGAATTAATTTGTAGCATTGAAGCAAAGAACATCCCACCTTTGTTTCCTATTTTGTTTCCAGTCATTCTCAAATACACAAGAGTTTCATTCCTCTAGACAAAATAATAATAAATGGCCTGAAAAACAACACTGTCCTTTTTCCTGTGAATCCTGCTGGTTGTCACACAAAGACAAAACATCCCTCCAGAAGATTTGTGTCTAAGTGATAACACTGACTAAGCAGCTGGCTCAGGCTCCCCTTAGTGGAATCAAATGCATGAGAGTCTGGAAGCAAAACTCAAGTATTTGAAAACTTTTGTTTTTCCCAGGTTCACAAATTTCACTCTTATGAAAATAATCCAGGTAGATATTTATGCCTAAATTGGCAACTGAAATGCAAATTATATCAAAACTGATTTAAATCTGGTAAGCGTATTTTAAACAAGAATATAATTTGCTTTATTTTTCAGTCTTTTAAATCACATGATCAGTCAAAGCTCAGTGAAGCCAGTCACCATCAGAAGGACTACTTGGTGCAGAGTGAAACCAGTGTGTAAGTCTTTGCTGGACTGGAGACTTCACTGGCAATATAAAGTTCTGATCAGAGGTCTAGAAATGTCAGCATCTTTCCCCTCACCCTCCACAGAATTTCAATGGATATGAAATAACTATTCACTGTTAAAGCCCTAAATGCAATGCAGAGTAGTTTTGTGGTTTTAATTCCTCAGTACCACCGTAATCACTCATTATCAGAGATTATGATTACAAAAGTAGTTCTGTGAGCAGCAGAATTAATGTAGCCTGATTTCATAGAGCTTTTTTGTCTTCCACATGTCCCAGTACATTTTCCTCTGCTGCAGCACCTTGCTACAGCATCTCCTTCCCTCTCCCTCACTCAATAACACACCCCATTCACCCTCAGATCCCCCCATGCCTGGCCCAGCAGCAGGAGCCCACGCAGCCAAAGGGCTGGTGGTCAGGTCCTGCCACCCGCCTGCTCAGCAAACGCTGCCACAGAACTGCACAAATAGCTTTGGGGGTTGCTTGCAAGCCCAGTGTTGTACTATCTACTGTACAAGCTTAGCGTTTTGGAGGCTTTTCAAATTTAGTTGAAATCAGTTCAAAGTTCAAAGACTATGAAGGAGGAAGAAAGAGCTCACGTGAGTCTCATTTCACAAACACAATGATTCTTACACACAAGCCTCATTTCATTGGGAAACCACATTAAAAATAACAAACATGTTTTTATGCTGCTGCTGCTGTAAGGCAAAGTTTTGAAAACACGTCTCAGACATCTTGAATCAAGACAAATATTGACATCAAGGTACAGGCAAATTTAATACAATTTAAAAAAAAAGGAAAAAACTGATGTCATTATATATCCTATAGCATAGCATTTTTCACACAGAAAAAATCCAGCTGTGATAGTTGTGATAATTAAGTGTTAATGGCAGCACAGAGAAACCTTCTCTTGTGTGAAGTCTGCCTTGGGAAAGCAAGCAATCCCTGTGATACAGCAAAATGCTGAACGGACTGAAGACAGAGGGCCCTTTCAGCCAGCTCTGATGTTGGCAGGACAGCTAGTACTGTTCATCAAAAGCAAAAATATCAAACTAGATGCCATTGTCTAAATCTCCCAGACAAATACTCACATGGAGTGCTCTCGCTATCAGCTCTGCTCCGCTTGTGCCAATGTCATTAAACATCAGGTTAAGGTACCGCAGAGTGCAGTTTTCCTTAGGAATGAACAAAGCAGAAAGCAATGAGACTTTTTTCCAGAGCATGCCTGCATTTTTCAAAAAGATGCACCATACACGTACTGACAACCTCTGTCCTTTGCTGCATTTCAGGCAGCCCCTGATTGGGAGAAGTAGTAAAAGAATGCCAAAGTATGTCAGATAATGAGGGAAAGACAGAAAAACATGTAGCATGTAGGTCCTCATGGGGCTTACAGAAACCACCTAGGAACCCACATGCTCAGCATGACCAAATGAGGCAGGTGTTCAAACTCAGATGCAGATCTTCAGGCATTTTGTGAAATTAATGGCATTCCCTGATCTCTAGGAACATAGGCACGGAGTGGCAACTCACCGTTTTCTGCCTGTATTCCAGTGCTTACAATGACAAAAAGGCAGTATTAAAGTTTCCCATGTTTAGGCCTACCAAAAGGCAAACAGAGATGATAAAGTATCTAAAAAAAAGGCCTTGGCAAACTTGACACTACCATTACCCCCTTTGGTGAATTGAACTGTAAGCCTAAAAGCCCCACAGTTTATTCCACCATTCTTTCTTCAGGACATCCTAACCAAATGTCCAATGGTTTTCTACTAAAAATCAAAAATCTCCCCAGAGAATACAATCTGAGATTTCTAGTAGAATGGATTTGGATGTGAAAGTAAAAATTAATGGAATTTTGCCAAACCAATGCAGTCTTGTCTCCAAGACACTACATATAAATATTATCACAGCCAAATAAATTACAAGTTGCTGAAAGATAAACATCACTTTGGCACCTGGAGGAATGTTGCCATGTTCTTTGCTCCAGCATCAGTCAATACATTATACCTAAGATCCAAACCTGAAAAAGATGAAGAATGTGACAAATGCGTATCTACAATTAATTGATCTGTAAACAAAAAGAAATAAAGATGAACTAAGGCTGAAACCAAGACTGCTTATGTTTTCTCATATTAGCACAGCAATATCAAACATACATAAAAAAATTTACCTGTGACTAACACAGTACTGCGTAAGACAGAGGCAAGAACTTGAAGATCATCATCTGTAACTCTCTGCACAGGCACTAGACGATTATTTCCAGCTATTTTTAATGTGATCCCTTTTGTCCCTCTGCTGTAACATAAAAATGTAAGCACATGGGGAAAAGTAAAAAGACACAGAAAAATGAATTCTCTCTCCAGATAAGGAGTGTATCCATGCTTGCCCTCACTGATGCATTTGCATGCAGTTAGCTGTTGCCACCACCTTTGGTAACACCATGACAGATGATGTGATTCAACCTGTACCTCAGCACTGTCCTTTTTGATACTCTGAAGACAGTGCACAGCCACAAGACCACGCTTAGCACACATGCACAGAAAGCAGGAAGAAGCAAGATAAGGGAAAGGCAGGTGGAAGTAGACTATCCTGGAGGTTACCTCATCATCTCCTTTTTACTTGTTCTCTTTCCTTTTATTTACTCTACCCTGCCCTCAGGATCAAAACCTAACACAAACCATTTCCCTGTGCTGTATTTTCTCACGTTTTCTCTCCAAAGGACAATTAACTTTGACCCCAGGAGCATCCATGAGAGGAAGCCTTACCTAGCCACATAATAAGAGAGAGTTTGAGTGGTTAATACCTTGGCAGGATTCAGAGACAGTTCAGGGAAGCATTACCAGCTGGAAGCTAACTGGATGCAGCTGAGGCTTCTTAAACAGGAGGGAGACAAAAGGAAGGGAGTTAGGAAGACTAGACACGGGGTTTGGCTTCTCTAAGGGACACAAAGGCACCATCCTGTACGTTTTTCACTTTTTTTGATTTCACTGCTTGTAAAGCTGCCCAGAAGGGAAATATAGCGCAAACTTCTGCCAAGATGATGTCAAGATGAGTCAAACCAGAACTTCAGCAGTCAATGCTAAATATGATTCGTTTTTAAGCCTGAAACTGCATGAACTTTCTCATCATTTAATTCCTTGTCCTGCTGTCGTGTTTAAGGCTTTCAGAAGCATCTGAAACATACCGGTTTTTATTTCCTTACATTTTATCATTTTTATCGGCTTCTTGAAGTACGCGAGCGATGAAAGGATTTTCAGGCTGGCCCAGGTTTTGACAGGCCCGCACATAGTGCTGGCGAAGATCTGGACGAACTGCCATGACCTGCTGGAAAACAAAACAAAGTGTTACCGCATCGTTATGGCAGCCTAGCAACATCACCATGGACCCAAGCACTGCTGTGCCAGGTTCTGCATAACAATAAAAACCGGCTTGGTCTGAAAAGGGTTACAACTCTTGGCATGCAACACAAGAATAAGAGATAGATACAGGCAGACAGGAAAAGCGCAAGGAAAAAAAAAACGTGGATTTGTGGACGTGATTCTGATCCGCCATCACGTAGGATCTGAGCCAACAGAGAATTAATATTCACACAGGCGAGTCCTTTTTCCTCTGTAAAGCAGCCGGGCCCCCGGCCTCCACAGGCCTACCTGAGCAATCCACGCCTGTGCCCTCCGTCCTGTGGCGGAGCCGGGCTGCGCTCCAAGGTTAATAGCGTTTGGTCACAGAGAGCATCCCGGGCCCTTCCCCAAGAAGGAGCGGGCAATGGCAGCCAGGCCCGGACCAGGGCCCTGGCAGGAGGCCCCACGGCCGCCTCGCTCCGTGGGGTGCTGGCCACACAGTTTCCTCAGCTCACCCCCGGAGTATTTACTTAGCGGTCTGCCCGCGGTCTCCGAGGAGCCTTTGCAAATATTTCCGTGGTTACATGGATTAGCAGTTACTTCAAAGGTGCCCGTGCTGGTCATTGCCACCAAATAAGTCCTTCTAGCCACCTCGCTACTGACCGTGTACGCAGGAGGGGGTGGGCTGAGGTTGCACGGCTCTCCTGTCCCACAGCACGTGGGGCTCACACCCTGGTACCAGACTCCGAGCCAATTAAAAAAAAAAAAAAAAATACTCTGGTGCAACATCTGAATTAGTCTGGGAAGCCCAGCACGGGTCTCTCCCCATGGTGGTCGCTCAATTCCTCCTCCTTGTCCTGGCGGCACCTGGAAACCACCCATCTCTGGAAACGTGATGTCCTCCCAGGGTGGCTGCAGCAGCAGAGAAAAGGGCATCAGGCGGGAGACGACTGACAGCTGCCTCTTGACCTCCACTTTCTCTCTTATCATTCCTTAAGAGAGAGGTTTCTGAAACGCCAGCTGAAAGGTTTCTTCCATCCAGACATCACAGGCCAGTCAGGTAGTCACCCCTTCCCACCTCTCGGTCTTTCGCTATCAGCGACAGTACAACTTTGAGGGTTATCAGATTCACCAGCATCTCTCTGGCTCACTTTCTTGTTACAGAAGAAGCTGCCACCTTTTTACAACAGGACACTTCCAGTTTTACAGTGAGCATAGCTGAAGACAAACCTCAGCCAGTGTTTGTGAATATAGGCCTTCAAGACTCAAGGAGGTTGCTTCGTCCAGCTCCCCTGACTTCACATGGTCGCCCTCCGAATTTGGCTGTTGGGGCACTTCAGGATGCACTGGCATTCAAACCTATGGTCCTGTTGTATTTACTGCAGGATTCGATCTCAGTGAACCCAAGCAGCTTTTTGCAGGGGTACAACTGAGACTAGAACCTGTCCCAAATGCTGAATTCTGCCAGTATTTGTTAAGCACAGGATGGTCTTTGAGTACCATCGATTTTTAATTATTTTTCTCTTCTGAAATTACAGATAAGGAGCAGAGGTGGCTGAGTCTCAGCAGAGCCAGGAGGCTAGCGCAGCGGGCACTCATTGCCCCAAAGCTGACTCTGCTGGTTTTGAGGATGACCATGTTGAGACTGCACAAGATATACCAGTGAATGAAGTGCCAGAGACTGAAGCTTTCTCCCACATGCATCACAGACAGGATATTTTTCATTCATTTAGCCAACAAGCAACTGCGAAACATCTTGCCAGAGGTCTCGAGTCTAGAATATCTGGAAGAGCTGCACATGGAAAAGAACCTGATTGTAAGCATCCCAAGACATCAATCACCTGAGGCACACAAAGATCCTCTACTTGGATCAGAATTACATACAGGGCATATGCGAACTGGGGGAGCTGAAATGTCTTCTAAGCTTAAATCTAAGTAACAATCCCCTCTCCTGTAGTTTGCTGCCAGTTATCAGCAAGTTGCAGCCCCTTTGTCAGCTCAGCCTATAAAACAAACTTGCATGAAATCCCAGTGCAGGTCTGCGAATACCTCCATCGTGTTGAACTGCTTGGCCTTTCTGACAATTATTTCAAGAGTCTGCCTAAAGAAATAGTGAACCTGACAAAAACTCAAGGAAATTTACCTCCAGAAAAATAGACCTGAAAGTTTTCCCAAGGAGCTTTGTCATATTGCTAATTTAGAAATAATAGATCTGGAACAAAATCTGATCAGTCTCATCCCAGAAGACAGAGACTTTTTGACAAACTTAGTTAAGCTATTTTTAGGTTTTAATAACTTATCCTCCATTCCTCCTACACTGCAACACTGCCAGAAGCTGCCTGTGCTGGATCTGTCTCAATCTCCTGCACAAGCTTCCCCCAGGTTTGAAGAATCTCACTGAAATGAGAGCACTCAGACTGTCTGCTAACAGCCTGGAGAAGTTCCCAAACCAGATCCGCTGCTGGCTGTCTCCTTCCCGTGTTTATCTGAGGAACACTGGACTGCACACAGTACCCAGGTCTTTCATCAGATTAACCAGTGTCAGGATACTAGATCTGAGTGAAAATTGCTTTGATGATATTCCTAAAGGACTATGCACTATGAAAAATCTGGAAGTATTGGCCCTGGATGACAATCAGATACAGGAGGTATTTGTTCTTTAATTTTTATTTTATTGATACTTCCTTTTTGCAAAATCTAAGTTCTTCATTAAAACCGAGTGCCACCTTTCCCTACAACAGTGAGAAGGCATGTTCCACTTGGTATGCACCTGAGCCTAGGTTAACTCATTATCACTGATACCTGAGTATTCAGGCAGGGAGACAATAGCAAGAACATGGAATCACTGACCTTTGTGTTGAATTGTAAAGACAACATACTGACTGGAGGGACTGCTTCAGTCTTTTTGAGTCTTTTTTTCTGTGTACTCTGGAAAATAAGAGCTGCGTTTGCATAGAATCAATACATCACAAACTGAAACAGAACAGAGGGCAATTTAAAAATGGATGTCATATTGTTAATGCCTTTAACACCATTAATATTTGCTGTTCATTTGATAATGAACAATTATGTACCCTAAAGCTGTGTTATTATAAGTGTAATGGTATTCATGGGCATACTCATTTTAGGGCTCAGAATACACATTCCTTTTTATATAATGCAACTCTTCTTTTCCAAGGAGATTTTCACTTGTGCAATTTTCTTCTTGAAGGTTACTTATACAGAAGTAGTAATTTATGCAAAAGAATCACTTTCAGATTTCATTCATTTAAATTACTCTCCCCTGCACTGTGCATACAAAGGAAATGAAGAAGCAGACTAATGTTTCTGCTAAGAAATAAAATTAACCCCATAAGAAATCTTTCCAGCAGAGGAAACAACATGGATTTTTTCGCCAAAATTTCCACCATACTGTGAGGTATAATGTTATATTAATGAGCAGAATATTCTGTGTTCATCCATCAATAGTAATGCAGCTCCACAGCATTTTCTTGGAGATTTTTCCCTAATAACAAAATCCCCAAAAGATTACTGTTTAATTGACATAATGTATCTTTTTAATGACTGTGTCTAGATACCTGCAGAGGTGAAAGAACTGACAAATTTGAAATGCCTTAGCCTGTCTGAAAACCAATTCAGTATCTTTCCAAAGCAAACCTTTCTCCTGGAGTCATTAGAGAAATTATAGCTGGGACAAAATAAAGCAATTAAATTCACAAGTCTGCCAGAAGACATCAGCAAATTGCAGGTAGGAGCAATAGAAGGGAGAAGGTCTTGGTCTCCTACAGCATGGCACTTCTGTGGACTTCAGCTGCTCCCAAATGCAGGACTGAAAGTTCTCCTAATCTCTTTAGGTACATGGTGCAGCATCAGGCCAGGGCTGTCAGAATAGGGATAATATCAAAACTCAGTGTTTGAAACACATGTTCTCTCTTTGTGTTTAGTAGTCATCCCAATGGTATCTCAGGTTATAAACCTTGCTTCTGCACTTACTGTTATTCTCTATACATTGATTATATATCAAGTTAAGGAAAAAGTCCTTTAATTATTAAAACTTCCACACACATCTTTTCCAGAATCTGAAGGAACTGCATACAGAGAATAATTGTCTGGAGTACCTGCCCACAGCCATCAGCTCATTGACCCACTTGAAAATATTTGACTGTCATAACAATCTCCTTAAACAGCTCCCAGACTCTGTATGCCAAATACAAGGTGAAATACAGTCTTTGTGTTTGTGGCCTTAAGGATGCAAGTACCAGTAAGCATTTTAGAAGAAGGAGGGAGAGAAGGAAAGGAAAGAAAAGAATGCAGCACATCATTCAGGGTTCTTCCTGTAATTGTAAGGGAACCAAATAGGATAAAAGTTAGGAACTGGGAGGCTGAGGGAAGTACTGTACCCAAGCCAAGTGAACAGGAGGTCCTCATCCACAACCTACCTCAACCTCCGGGTCTGGGGAAAAAGATGTTTCCCAGAGCTCAGCTCAAAGCAGACCCCCTAATGTGAGAAGACCCACTGGGTCAGCACCAGTGACTCCAGAGCAGTGAATGGTGTGGAACTGGCTCTCCAGGGGTACTCCCCAGCCCAGTCTTTCCATCTTCCCTAGTTCTCCATCACATCTCTGTGTGGCTAAGTTCACTAGCACTGTTGGAGGACCAATTGTCAGGCCTTTTGAGAGCTGAATTTAGCCACCTGGCTGCAGATGAATAGTCGTCACCTGGTGAAGCAAATGCTTTGCTAAGAGAGCCCGAGTTCCATCCTTCTGCACTAACTAGCTGCACGTGGCATCTTCACTCTTGCTGACTGTATTTTGACTGTAGAGGGTTGAAGATCCATTGGGCAAACACATTGAAAAAACCCACATTTTTCATGTCTTGTTTTTTGTGGGTTTTTTTTTTTTTTTCAAAAGAACATCAGTCTGTATCACCAGTAGGCCATGGAATTAATTTGCTCAGAAAAAATACAGGGAAAGAAGGAAGGAAAGGCAAATCCTCAGTCTTTGATTCTTCTGAACCTAAATTATTCCCCTGTTTCTGTAATGTCTGTAATTTCTTCATGAACTACTGTGTTTCTCCCAAACTGTTCTTCTGAACTAAAAGGTGACATTTAAAGACGTGTAGACATAGTCATTTACTACTCTAATCAAAGGGTCTGGAGGACTACAGTGTTAGTCTCCTCCCTGGTAAGAAATTCCTCTTGAAAAAAAAATAACACAGAGTAAAAGAAAAGTCAGGTGGCTGGCAGTCTATCTTAGCTGAACACAATGTAGCCTAATACAGAATAAAAGGTTTTTTTGGAGACCACAATGCGCCTGGCTTTTTGCATCGAGAATATCCACTAGTAACACTGTTCCACATGACTGTTTGCTTTTAGCCTATTCCTCCAGGTAACCAGATTGTTCTTCTCTCTTTTTCAGATCCAATGGTTGTAGCATGGGTCGATGAATCAGAAGGGAACTGGACCTTTCTTGACACTTAAGAATCTAACGAAAAAAAGAAAGAAGGAAAAGGAAAGGGGAAAAGAGAAGCCTGTAAAAGCCTCAAAAGCAAAAAGTGATATTTGGGCAGAAAAATGCACAGGGCTCTTTTCATTTACAAGAAGGGCAAATGCGAGCAGAGATAAGCGAGTAGGAGATAAGCAGTATTAAAGCATTCGAATCAGTGAGCGTTACAATGAAAATAGATCATTTTTTTGAGGTGTTTTTGTGTTTTTGTCAACATTGACTCCAGCTGAATCAGGCAGATTCTGAAATATTCTTGAGATGTCTCATTCTGAATGCATGTTATCTCAAAGCATTAAGGCAGCTGATTAACTGCAAATTAGTCTAATCTGTAGGAATCTGGTGCAATGAAGTGTTCTTTGTTCTGAATCCCAAAGTATTTTACATGCAATTCTTAGAAATCTGTTTTCCAGTCAGTGAGGTAGAGCCATATCTAGAGTGAAACAATATTTGTGGCCCCACTAACTAGCAGTTATTTAATGAGTTTTACGTTCACAAATGATCAGTACCTTGTTTGGAAATATGGAGGAGGATTCCAGGCAGTCAGAACACATGCACTTCTACCAGAACCTGTATTACCATCCTGTCTTACAGACGTGTAAAAAGCTGTTTTGAAAGTATCATCTCCACACTTTTGCAAAACTGTTCACTGATGTTTTGACAATCTGTAGTTATAGTATTTTGAATGACTGCAAGCTGTCAAATCCTTAGTGTTATAGCTCATCTCTGAAATAGCTTGGTGACTGTAAAACAGACGTCTGTGTACAACAGGCTTATCTGAAAGCAGGAAGTCTGCAGAATGCAATATTCTGCAGTGATTCTGGGTCCTGGCATGTCATAACACCTTTGTTATTCAAAAGAACCATGACAAACACTCCTTACTATAATTCTAGCATGCCAAATTTATATGCAACCATGTCCTTCCACAGCACTTTACAGAAAGCTGTTTGTCCTAGACAGCTGATGTCCTTGTCTAGTTTTTATTAGGTATTGCTCAGTTACTCCTTACACTCCTCCAGAGTTTTATCTGCAGCATACATAAAGCACAGAGCTGGACTGGGACCGGCCACTGTGCGGATTCAAAGGGCACGAGTGGGTGGGAGCAAACCCCTTTATTTAGTTTAATTGGCTGGTCGGAGCTGTAGTCCTGCTCTCCCTCCCCTTGCCTGAGTTGCCTCAGAGAAGGTGGTGGCATCCTGAAGGAGGTAGTGAAGGCAGGGTCACTGAGACCCAGCTCTTCCTAGAGCTCCACCTCCAGGTAGTGTTCTCTGAATGCTGCGGCTACATCTGCACGCAGGGTATGGATCTTATTTCTGTTTGGCTCTTGAATCGATTGACACTGAAACCTCATTAATATGCTTGTTGGCAGGAGAGAGCTGGGAGTGCAGAAAAGTGGGATGGCTTGGTTTTGATTTTTCCATTTTAATAGGTGAGTGATGCTGTTTTGATTGTTTGGAGGTGTCTTATGAAATTTTTTCACCCTAAGTGAAGGCAAAGAGGAACAGAGAGAAGGATGATTCAGAGACTACTGAGGAGGAAATCATTGGAAGAGAGAGATCTCCGGGAAGACAGGACATTTAATAGAAGTGATTTAATAAAAGGGTTTTAGTGGCACAATAGGTATGACAGAATCATGAGAGGGCAAAGGACTCAGAAGGGGATCATGAACAGCAAGTGGAGAGGTTTCTAGCAATGAGTCCATACTGTGCTCTGGAGCTGAGAATGAGGAGCCCAACTATGACAAAACAAGAAACCCCAACACTGAAATCCAGTTCAGTCAGTAAGATTACAACAGACACCTGACATTAAACACTGGCCAGCTGCTGTACTGCATTAGAGAGAGAGGTTCAAGTGGGAAAGGAGTGATTCAGAGATATTCTCACAGAACAGATAAAGAATCAATTTCCCAGTTGGACCCAAGGCAGATCCGAGGAGGAAAGTCACAGGAAGGTGAGTGATTAAGAGAAGAGATTGGTGTGCTGCTGTTAAACAGAGATGATGGTACTTCCACATTAGAGTAACTCTCCTGGCTTAAGTCACTACTTGAAAGTCTCTCTTGTTAGCCTTGTATGAAACACGGGCTCTTTGCTTCACTTCAGAGGTTGAGGATCTCTGTAGAAGATAACTGATCCCACACTGCAGCAATTCCCTGCTACCTCTGATCAAGACACTCCAGTTCACCTCATATTTCTCAGAGCTGGGGGGAACCAATTGCACTTTTCAAGTAGAACTGAAACTGGAACCAGGAAGTCCATGGAGACCCTCACATGAAGTCATGGATTAAATGATCATGGGGTATCAGCACAGCACGGTCAGCTGCTGGTTATAACCCTGACCAGCCAGAAGTTGATGCTGGAAGGGTCACCCAGACTGAAACCTAAATATTGATCTGCATCTGCACAGGAGAACTTGCTGGGAGGGGCCCTAGCAAGTTAGGAAATTGCCACTGAATGATCCTGTTGTACCTCTCCTCCAGGAGATTGCTGCAGCATGTAGATATACTCACAGCTAATTGAGCAGTACTTTATCCCTCAAGCTGCCTCAGGATTTCTCTAAGACTCCTCACTCAGTGGGCAGATCTAATATCTTTACTTCCTAAAATACCTTACCAATGAATAATCCCACTGCAGTCTTTGAGCTCACGTGTGGGTTAACAAGCTCCATGACACGAGTGACTATGCCAGAATTTAGCTCTGTGTAAGCAAATACAATAAAATGCCAAATAAGAAATTATCAACTAAAAAAAGGAGGAGCCACTTACACATCCCAAGTTGGTGCTTTTTCTAACAAGTGTTGGGCACAAAGCAGGGTGCTGTGCTCTTAGTTAGAAGCTGCCTTGTGGCTTTGAATAATAGACTTTGCTTATTTCCCTCATCTTTAAGGTAAGGATAAGAACACTGTCCATTTCACAAGGTGTTGTGAAGGTTAATGGATTAATCCTGAATGCAGGAAGCATGAAGGCACTGCAGGGACTCCCACTGGCTTTCATATGCTTTAGATCAGACTCTTAGATCTGGAAGTTTGGTTTTGTGCTGCATGTCATAAAAGAGTCTGTACAGAAAGAGCAGTCTGGGTAAGGCCGAAACAGCTCAGGATGAGAAGGAGCATCCCTGAAGTATCCTGAAGTCTTTGTATAGCCTTATCCAGAATGCCTATGGATTGCTCTGTGTCCAAAATCCTTGCTAAGGTAGCAGGACATACCTCTGATTTAACCTACCACAGCATTTCCCTTGCCCCTGAGACCTGTCAAGATATCAAGGAACTGTTTCTTACCTTGATTTTATGCTGATTCTGTACACAGGACTTATCTACACTATGAGATGGCATCAACGGCCAGAGCAGAGGCAGAACAGCCCCTTCCCTATTCTCCTTACTGGACTAACATATAATCCCGAGTTGGTGGGATGCTTTGCAAATCTCACAATTACGTAGATTTAATGCATTCACAAAGAGGCAAAAGTCTGGGGAGAGAAGAAACTAAAATTTAAAACATAGAGGTTTCAAGTATTTTCACATTGGAGGCATCTTCCTTATATACAGGAGCCCACATTCACACTGCCCACCCACCTGCATTAGCACACACCCCGGCCACTTTCCTCCATTGGCAAATCTACAGTGTGTCCATGTGAAATCATCATTGCTCTTTTGACAGTAGTCATTGGAGTATTCACAACACAAAGATTAAGCATATATAGTAGCATGAGCATGGCCCAGAGAATCTGAAAGAATATATTATTAAATGGAATGATCTATGCATGCAGAAGGTTAAATAACAGTTTTCTGTAATTGTGGAACTATTTCAAGAGCTCTCATGAGACAAGATTACTAAAAACTGGGCAGTCTTCTAAATCAGAGACACGTAATACTTGGTTCATCTGCTGCTTGTGAAAGGCCTTCCAGAAACCTTCAACCTCCATCAACAGTCAAAACGAATGTTTCTTTTGTTGTCTTGATTAAAGCTTTCCAGTCTTTTTCGCTGTGATTCTGAAAGGACCCATCTTTGCATCCCCAGCTCTGTCAAGGCAGGCAGCTTTGTCAGGGCTGCTAACAACTCGCTAAACCACGGCCCACAATCACGGCAGGACAATGGGCGAAGACTGACATCCAGCTCTGAGAGTTCTTTGAATACTGCTAAGCCTTGACAGAAAACGACCCACCCTTCATCAGAGATGCTGTTGTTATAACTCAAATCCAGCTTCTGTAATCTGGCTAGATGGCCATCCTCCGTCAGTAAGGCTGCAAGAAACAACAGACACAAACACAACTAATACATCCCGGCAATTGCTTTAAAAGCTTATAAGTAAGAAGAGTACCATATTATTTAAGGGTTTTCAGCAGTCAAACAGCAAGATTCAACTCCTCAGCAACATAAAATCACTTGCTGTTGATCTCAGAAAGATTGTTTTATCACAGCTGAAGGAGTGTACAACAATTTAAACACAGGCAATTCAAAAGGAACAGGAGTAATGGGTTAAAACTGTATGGCAACCTGAAAACCTTTGAGTCAGTTGGAAGGAGGTTATAAGTGCCAATTAAAATAAGCAGAGAGGCTTTACACAGAGATTTAGAAAGAGGAAAGCAAAACTAGATGAGGTTGCATGATTACAACAGCCACCTCTCACTGTGGGAGGGTAATGGGCCTAATATACCCTAAAGGGAACTGGGATCCTTAATGTATGATTGGCAAAGGAGACACCCATCAAGTGTGATGTTTGTAAAGTCAAAAATACTCAGGCTTCATCTCACCAGCCTTCAGATTACAGGGCCTTAATAGCTGTCACACAGCTACTGCCAAGGCCCACAGAATCACAAGGATGATTACAAAATAAACAGGTTTGTAAAAGGATCCTAGAATTTATTCCCTCATCAGGTTCCCATCTTCCAGTATTCCTCAGCAGCTGCTAAGAGGTGGGTGGAAATATTTCTGTTTTAGTTCTCCCACAATAGTTTGACTCCAGAAACACACCTAATGGACTGAGAGCTGGTAGTGCCTGTATTACTGGCTGTCAGCACATACCTTTTCTATAAATTACTGAACCCAAAACCAGCAACTGAGCAAAATAAAACTTCTTACAGGCAGCTTTAAATATCTGATATAAAAAACAGATGCAAACCCTACGTTTTCTAAGGGCTGCCTTTTTGTATTAATAGATAAAACTGCTAAAAGATTCTTTGCATTTTAGCCTTTTCAGTTTTTGCACTGTGCATGTACAGGACACACAGTCTTCAGCAAAATTAAAACCCTTTCTGGAAAAAATACTCCTGTATTTTCCATCTTTTCATTTGATTTATGCAAAAACGTGCTCAGCCCATTGAACAAGTCCCTTCTGAATTGTGGTCTAAATGCCCTGGCTCTTTGACTGCTAGTAAATACCATGTTATACGTACTTAGAAGTGCCAAATCTTCAGCCACCAAGTTACAGCTGCTCAGTCTTAACACTTGAATCTCCGTTGCAAGCTTTAGTGCTCCCAAAAGCAGCTTTAGGTTCCCACCAACGCACTTATTCCAAGAAAGGTCTAATATCTCCAGTTCAGGAAGGTGAAGGGCAGCCTCAGCTGAAAAGATTAAGACCAGCAACTTCTGCTTACTAAGAGAAAACAACATGGCCTCAATAGACACCTCACCGGCAATTCACCTGTAAATAGGCTCCTAACAGGCTGCCTGCTTGTGCTTAGAATGACTTACTTTATCCTAATAAGTCAGACAAAAAATATCTCCTGTGCTCTTTAAAGAATACAAGAAGGGCCTGCCTACAGAATCTTTAAGGATACTGCGGAGGGGTTTCTTGTCTTTCTGTTCACGTTATTGGCTTAACCTTGTCCCACTGAAGTCAATTTAATTTAACAGCTTGTTTTTAAGCCATTTAATATCAATTCAAAGACAGCAATTTTTTGCTGTGAACTCACCACGCAAGGTGAAATGCTCTGTACCTTTTGACAACACTGATTTCCATGATGTCACTCTTACATAATTGTAATGATATAAATATAGTACTCTTCCTGCAGGGACCTCAGACCAGTTTAGCTTGCTACTACTTCTGCTGAAGGCAGTGAAGTTTCAATGCCACTAGTAAACAGTACAAAATATATTATAAATGCACAATACACAGTAACTAACAGATCCCTCTGTACTTAGATTTCATTTGCCATATGGAACACCTATCAAAGGGACGGTGTAGCCACTAATCCACTGAGATTTGCAGTAAGTAGGCAAAAGAGGCTGAATTTACATATCCTCTGTTAGATTGGACTTTTCTTCATGGCTGTGCAATATCTTTTCCACTACTGCAGTCATTGCCTCAGTTCCTCCATTGCCCCATGCTTACTCTATCCCAGAAAGTTTCTACTGAACTTTCACCTGCAGTGAGGTGAAAAACCTTCAGTCAAAACTTTACCCCACTAAACTGCAAATGCAGTGTCACAACCAAATGATAATTACAGCATAATATGAAGTCATGTTTTCCTTTCTCTTCCAAAATTAGGCAGTATATGAAAGCTCACTATCAGACAAAGGACTAAAAGGACTTCATCCAGTCAGGTATAATGGGGAAAGACATACAGCAGTCTCCCCTTGCAATCAGGTCCCATGAAGCACTGGTTTCATCACAGGCTTTTTCACTCGGGACCTGTGGTATAATATAACCATGATCTTTGGAGTTTAGCCAAAGGAGAATGAAGTGCTTTGTCCCACAAGGATACACAGAGAATAGACATACTTTAAAAAAACATTCCTACCCAGTGATGAAAACGACTCTTCACCTAAACCACAATTGCTGATGGCCACAGATTTCAGCTTTGGTAAAAACCTGAGCCTGCCCAGAAGAGGATCAGATGAGACTCCTACACTTTTATTCGAGGATAAATTCAGCTCTTGAAGACTGGAGAGCAAAGGTATCACCTGGGCTATGAAAACATGAAATATTTATTAGACAGTCACCGATCCAGAACAAATATGTAGTTGTATATTTGCTTGACATCATTTCTTCTCTTTATAAATCAATCCAAAAGTCAAGGCCAGGTTTTGACACTCAAATTTATGATGAGTAATGTTTTAGTCCATAAATAGCCTTGCCATTTTCAGTAGGAATGTTTAAGAAATTAGGTATTACATATTGTGTGGAAGGTTGTCAGAAGACGGCATCCTGTTGCAATTTTCTAGGTGAAGTAGGGAATTTAACATTAAATGAGATGGGGCTTACTTCCAAATGTCTTCACTGCTAACTGAAACTCCTTTATATTCATGTTACTATTCTCTATTAGTCAATAAATTAAAAATAAATCAGGATTGCTATTACTAATAGTTACTATTTCCAAATGCTTCAGCAGCAGCTTTTCAAATAACCTTTTTTATCATGGAAAACAAGATGTGGGCAATATAGGCTTTGAGTCATGGGATTTGTTGTTGTTCTAAAGAGTAAAAACCAGTGTCAAAAAGTTGTTATAATGCACACAGAAAAATAAACTGTCTTACTGATTGAATGGGAAATGTCTTTCTCTTCCTAATAGTATTTATGAGTTGGATCAATTCAGCACGGAGACTGTAGTCTTCAGCTGCTCCATAAAGCATACAGCAGCAGCAATGCAAGATCTCCTAACATCACTCTCTACTCGACAGACAGTTCACTAAGCAAGTTTTAGGCAGTTACATTTACGTGCACATACACACCTTGGATCCATGACAATTTATACCAGTGGGGGAACTGTCGCGGGATATTTCCAAAATTACTGATTATCAAAAAAGCAGTGCTTGATGGCAGTTCCTACATTCCCATCACAGGTCTGAACCATGGCAGATTCAGGTCCTTAGTTCTACGTGGGATCAAACACTATGAGATTACCTTTGATTCAGCAAAAATAACATTCCATATTGATCAAGAAAGCTATCCTCCACAATGCACTTCCAGAAAAGTCATGTCTGAAAATGCCTAATGAAAAACGTACTGAGATCTGCTAAGACTAGGTTAGGCAGAATCTCTTATGCCTTTGAGATATTTTCAGAAGTCAAAACCTAGATTCTTAATGGATTTCATCAACATGTCCTTACACAAAACGGTCACGTCCTCTTCTGTTACACAGCACTGGTGGAGATCAAGGACTTCGAGGTTTTTCAAGCCGGCCAAATGAGCTGTTGAGTCTTTAAAGCCACCACCAATCTCTTTGTTACATGATATGTCTAATTTTCTTAGTGCTGCAAGGTGCTGTAAAGCAGTGTCTGAAATGGAAAACGGAGCATGCTGGTCACCGGCTGCTACAATAGCACAGGTCACAGCTTTAGCATTTATTTACTTTAACATCAAAGTTTGCACAAGGTATTGCAGGCGAAGCGCTTACACTAAGCTTCAGCATATAATCACAGTGGACATACAGTAATATCGCAAAGCTTCCCCACCCATGCAACTCCATTCTTCTCTGAAAGAGCAGGTGAAGGTGAGGCCAGGTCATCCCGCAGATCCATTCACTCCTCAGCCTTTTGCTGAAATTACTAGATGTGCTAGTTAGTGCCAGTTGTTTTATTTTATGCATAAAACCTCCACCAGGGAGAGACACAGATAATAAGCCCATTTCATATGGCTTCACTGGACACTCATTAAGTGATAATGGTGAATTTGGATTTCCTTCTGAGAGTAGGATTAGCTTGTTCGAAGTTAGCTAGCCTGTCTGTGCCCTTGTCTATGTTCTGTCTGGGGAGAGAAGAAGCATGTCCAGAGAGCCACTAATCTACCCTAAGATGTGTCTCAGATAAATGGTGTGGAGGGTGACTCTCCCTACTGAGTTTCACATGCTTGAGCTCAGGGAAGATAAATGCTACTCCTGCTGAAAGTCTCTGTAGTCTTTTATCAATCCTCAAACAGCAAATAATGATTGGCCATTAATACTGCCAAACCATTAGCAAAATCCCACCTCATTGCCCTTCTTAAATGGTTTTCAGATGTACAGTTTATTCAGAATGAAAGTGTTTCTGAACATAAAGTCTAACCTAAGCCCTGGAGGCTGTCTTGCTTTAATCCACACATGTGCAAGTTTAACTCTTTCAAGCCTGGCACATTTTTCAGATCCTGAGCAATAACCTTCATGCTGCAGCCGATGTGTTTGTTGATAGAGAGATCTAATACTTCGAGGTTTGGGATCACATTTAGAATTTCAGCTGGGAAAAAAAGAAAAGAAAATCAGAATTGGTAATTGTCTGGCATACATACAGATGAACCCTATTAAAATACAGCACCATGGCAAACAGGAAGAGGTAGGCTGGGTTTGCCTATATGTGTGGTTTAGACTTACTAAGTTCCTGTTCTACTTTAAAAATACATCAAAACAAAGATTGGATAGGCATTAAGAAAATCAGTCAAAAATCTGTACGAAAATAAAGGTGAAAAAATACAAGGACAGTTAGAAAAACACAGGGGAATAAAAAGCAGGAATACAAAGAGTAAGAAAAATTTCTAATGAAAAGATCTAGGACTGGATGTTGCATGTGGGCCATGTCCTGCAGTGGAGATGAGAGCACAGGGGCTTCTCTTTAGGGAGAAAATATCTTTTAAAACAGAGTCAGATCAAAAGACCACACAGGATTAAGCTATGGTGAGAAGAAAGAGGGGAGGGGTGATCAGTGGTTGCCAACCCAGCCTAAATTCCCATCCCTCAGGCCTTCTTTCCCATCCCATAACTAACTACAAATTTGGCTGCTTACTTTTAAGCAATCAGTGTTGGAAATTCTGGCACACATGACTTGATCAGGGTCTCAAAGGATCCAGCAACCCTGGACCACTGAGGCAGCCAGACTATGGTTTAGATCTAGCTATTCTTCTTCTCAACCCTACCTCACATGATTAGAGAGAACAACTTTCTTCTCTGGAAGAATGTGCATTAAATCCCAACACTGTGTGGTAAATACTGTTACAATGCAGAGCCTGAAATAAAATAACTTTCCACTAACATTGAGCTCAATACAGACATCATCTAAGTAAGCTAAACAAGCCAGTCTCCGTCCAGCTAGATGGACACACATACCAAGGGATTCTCCATCCTTTGCTGTCAGGTTACAGTCTGTAATTTTCAGAAGTTTTAACTTGCACCCTTTCTGGATTTTTTTTGTCAGGAGTGATAGTTTTCCACCTATGTTACTGTTCCATGATAAATCCAGTTCTTCCAGTTGAGAAACAATTTCAAATGCCTCTCCTGTAACAGAAGTCTAAGATGATTCATTCTAGGTATCAATTTCAGTGCAAGACAAAAATAGACGTTTGGAATATATTAAAGAAGAAGGTTAGCCACTTAGTTCTCAAATTATTATATTTTGAACGGCTTGCCAGGAAAGTTGGTGGATGCCATGAATTGTTGCTACTGCAGCAATGTTGTATAAATTCTCAGCTTGTCTAAGGAGCAATACAGATCACAAGTCATTGTCACAGTACACACAGACCTGAAATTTATTCAGCTTCCCACATCCTCATCAGACTGTTTGGCTGTCATTGTGGACCTGTGCCAGGACCCAGAAAGCCTAGACTATAGGGAAATCAATACAAGTGTCAAGTCTGAATTTACTGTCCTGTACAGTTCTGCTCTGTTTTAGTTGTCAACGTCAAGTTATTCCAACGTCCTCTGTACTGTGTCCACAGGTCATTTTGGAGGGGATGAAAAACGTCCTCTCACAACTATTTCTGAAGCGTAAAAGTTTCATTTCTGACAGGAATTTCTGACTCACTTCATAAGGAATCACAATGAGCATTGTTTTGACCCAAACTAACTTTCCCATTATTTCAAGGCAGACAGCACTGGTTTTGATTACATTCAGAAAAATTAGCCTTTTCCAGGCTTGACGCACCTGCCAATGTGAACTGTGTTAGTGCTTCTTTGTAATACTAGCATCCCACTGCAAAATCCAGCTTCCTAACTTCCTTTGTAGAGGAGGGAGGCAGATGTATATTTGCATAAACTCATTCCCAAGAAAGATCAATTAATCAGACCATATTCAAAGGCAATTTCAAAGTGTCTTACACAAATTTTTGATCTAAAGTCTTGTCATCAACCTAATAATTGAGAATTGTATTTTAAGAATAAAAACACTTCATGTCTGTGTGTTTTCATAATTAATTCTTCACAGAAGATTTATAATAGAAAAATAATTATTTCTTTTGTTGTAAGTGAATATCCAGGTTTGCAAGAAAAGGACAGGTCTTAATTTTTATTTTTGCATTTATTTTAAATTATTGCCTGAGTCTTGAATACTGAGCAATGCTCTACAGTTGAGAAGTGGTTTTGCCTCTGCAGCATAGCCTGTTTCTGTTTGACATGGGGACTAGTATTCCAGACACATTTTCCACCCAGAAGATAAATAAAGGACTATAACTCCAGGAATGGTTTCCTACCACCTCTCACAGTCACAGCTCTGAGCAACCACATAGGAAAGGTTGATATTATGGTTATATTTGAGGCATTGATCTCTAAGCAGAATGCACTGAGTCCACAAGTGGCCACATTTCCACAGATAGATGTAGACATAGTCAGACAGGCAGTATCGGCCTAAATACACATGCTGTTTTCAAAATCGCAGGCAAAATCAATGCAAACTGACTGCTGCTATTGCACATGTCAAGGGCATCACATTTTGACTAGAAATTCAAGTCCTATGATCAGTTTTGTGTCTGTCTCAGCAGAGGCCAAGCCAGAAGAGGGAAGGAAACAGCACAGAAGAACCAGGCAGAATAAATCAATTGGAAATATAACTAATAAAATTCAAGAGAAAAAAAGTACGAGAAAAGGATTTGAAAAAGAATGAAATAAAGTTGAAAAAATATGATAGAAAATGAAACACAGATTTTATCCTCATCAGAAACAGATCAATTACTTTCACCAGCTTTTGTAGAGATGCATTTTTCCTCCCTAATGATAGTATGACCCACTTTTGAGCTACTACCATATATGTCATTTTATTTCTGAACATTTCCTGGAAAAAGCCTGGATATGAATGACATAAACCCCAGCTTTATAACTCAGACCAGTTTTTAGAACTTGCAAAATAAGCAGTAGTTTTTATAATTCCTAGTTGACTGAGTTTGCCCTTCTTTTAGATACATATCACAGACTGACCCCAGAGTAAGCTCCAGGCCCAGAGGTAAGTGACTCAGCATCAGAACCTGAGTGCGTAACATCACTTTTAAATCTCGTGCTTTGCAGAAAGCAGGGTTGCAGGCACTCCAAGCAAAGAAGCAAGCAGAGGAATAAGCTTCTCTCAGACTTGCAAAACCAAGTCATAAAGCTCCAAGGCAGCACTTCCAGTTTTAAGTCTCTTCCAAAAGAACATCACTTTTTTTGTGATGAGCACTCATCTGTCCTGCAGCATGAAGACCTAAGCTGACCCTATGACAACTGACTCTGTTTCATTTCTTCTGTCTACCGTTAGATATCAAAGCTAGCTAAAAAATTACCTATCGAAATTGAAAACATGGTTTCCTGCAAATAGGACTGAATTCTGTTCCCTTCTGAATGTGAAAGCTTCATACCCTGAGGAACGAACTTGGCAGAGCTACTCAAATGTATAAGGTCACTCATCAGCCCAAGCTCTTTCTACTGTTTCATAGCAGGAGTTTACACTGCCCAGCATGGAAGCAGCAGGAGTAGGATGTAGGAAGAGATGAGATGGATTACATTAGACCCAAGCTGTCTGGAAGTAAATGTAAATGAAATCCCGTACCTAAGGAGGTGACATCCTCAGCTGTCAGCCTGCAGTTGTTAAGTCGAAGGACTCTTAGCAGGTTCACATGATGAAGATGAACAGTGAGAGCATTCAAAGTCCCACCAACACAGCCATTCCAGGACAGGCTGATCTCTTCCAGCTCTGGGAGAAACGGCAAAAAAAAAGCTGTAAAAAAAAAAAAAAAAAAAAAAAAGAAAAGAAAAAGCGTATTCTGTTTGCATGTTATTTGCACACATTGGGTGTCAATACATCTTAATACAGAGATGCTTTCTACAACCAATACAGCATTATAAAGCCATGACAATTTGTACCTCAGTTTTCTTATCTGTAATTTGAGTGTAAGGACATTCACCTGCTTCACAGACCTGTATGATTTTTATATTCATATATATATATTACATAAATTACATAATTTATTAACTATCATTTCTCAGGGACCTGGGACCACCAGATGAAATGTTAAATAAAGCCAGGCCTCTATAAAAAAAAGGGAAAGGAAAAGAGGAGAGTGAATAACTGAATAGGCAAATAAGTATTAAATAAATGTATGAAGTGACTAGTTGAATAAAATGTGTATTTACCCAGCTCTGTTACATCTGCTGCACTTAATGCACAATTATTTAGATCCAAATTCTTGCTGTTGGGTTTCTTTCCCAGTTTCTGCATGAACTGGTTAAACCTCTGCTCACCAGATGGTGACTCCGCTTCAGAAATGAGATGTGAAAGTCCATCTGAGTAACAAAGAAATAGGGCCCTGGTTACCGCTGCTACTAACACAGTGTGTAAACCCTGTCTGTGGCTGTCGGGTGAAGATTTAGGAAACGAACTAAATCTGTCAGTAAACCAGACTCTATTTTTTATCAATGTGGACCAATAACCTGGGTGATAAGATCACTATAGATCTGATGCAGAGTGAGAAAAGGATCTCCTGTTGCACATCTCCACGCTACCTTATGCCAGTGACTTGGGATGTTTGCACCACCAGTTCAAAGACATTAAATTCACGCAAAACTCTGAACTGCAGCAGTTATTCTGGATGCACAAGTCGTATAACCACCTCTGTGTGCCTGCGCTATAGCCGCACTGCTGCAATACAGCCTGTACTTGATCAGTTAGCACCGAGTGGCCCCAGAATTGTGTGATGAACCTCCTACTTCCTTCATGACAGCCTGTGTTCATTTCCATACATTGTCTGTGTAAGGCAAATCCTGCTTTTCTTGGCTGTGCAAAGCAACCCCCACTTACGTTCTTCTTCCATGAAGTTTGTACAGCAAGGAAAATTGCATTTACATTCATTGCTAAACCCTTTAACAAATCAGTAATTTCATCTAACAGGCGGAAAAAAGCAGCCAAAAATTACACAAAATAGCAATGCCACTCTCAGCAGCTGTCCTCTCACTGTTTCCCCAAACCTACCCAAAACTCTTAGGACAAAAGGATGGGGTTCTAAGCCTCACCTCCCAGCTCCTTTTTAGATATAGCCCCATTTTCTACGGTGCGGATGTAAAGAGTATTCTTGTGTGCGCAAAATAACATACATGATGAATTTCCATTCCCTTCCCCTCCCCCTCACCAGTGTCAAGTGGTAGGAAACATCTGCTCTTGTTGTCTTCAGATTGCTTTAGCAGCAGGGCAGACAGAGACCAATCTTAAATACAACAAGCAAAGCTACTGCTCAAAGCTTGGCTTTGAAACCAAATAAGCTCTGCAACTAATGAGCTGACTCTAGCACTGACCTCTCACATTGGAGATCAAGAGAGAGGTCACCCAAAAGCTTTATCCCTCCTCAGCAATATGGTTCTCACTCCTTGCTTGGCACCTATCAAATTAGAGAGCACATCCTTGATAATGTTCCAATCAGAAGCAAATCCTGGCTAAAGGATAAAGTGTAGGCAGCAAAATACAGGACTTTGGCTAGCAAGAAAAGCAACTGATTTTCTATGAAATTAAAATATATACACATGCACATGTATTTCACTATTGTAGCAGCATTACCTTCTACAGAGAGATCTTGCTTCTCACTCTCATCATCAGCTCCAGAGTTGTTTATTTCTGTTTCTTCAATTTCCCTTCTGCCCTTGCCTTCAGATTTCCCAAAGTCAAAGCCCCTGAAGAATTTTTTGATGGCTGAAGGCTGCTCTTTTCTTTTTCCAGGAGAGGATCTCTTCCCTTGGAACTGTTTTATTACAAAGCCAAATGGGGAACTCTTCGGGATGTCCTCTTCTTGCTTATCCTGGCAGCTCTGAATGTCATCTTTCAGGGAATCAGCAAACATAGAATTAGTTTTACTAACGTTTACTCTTGCTTGCCTTCTTTCATAATGGCAGATGCACTGAGAATTGCCTACCATTCCCTCCGTGCTAATATCAGAAAAGCACTGTTTAGTAGACCACACTCTGAACGCATTTCTCCTCCTTTAGAAGGAACTAGTAATGCTCAGTATTAGCACAGCAGACTCAGTGGTCCCAGTTCTCAACGGTACAAGTATCACTCTCTGCTGCCTTGTTAATGCAGACTGCGCTTAAGGCCACCCCACCTGGCCACCAAGCACTGAAGGGCTAACCTGCTGCTTCCCCTACCATTTAATCCCCAGGTTCAGTTCATAGTCTTGTGGCCACATTACAGAAGCAAGGCTGAGATGTCCACATTCTGAGGGGATGCCAGGTTAAGTTTGACACCAAAGTGATTCCTCATGCCAAAGGCCAGTCCAGCAGTCAGGAAGGTGAGAGGAGGAAGTGTACCACAAGGAGTGCAAGGACATCCTTGCCTGAACAATGTCACACACTCCCAAGCTCAGGAACATGGAAATGAAACGACATTAACCTTAGAGCAAAGCTGAAGTGACAGTGCAGAAAACAACGAGATACTGTAGCTACGAACACTGGGAGTGTGCCACTGCTGGAAGAAAACAAGCCCCCCAGATAGCTTGTTTGGAACAGTTCAGTAGTATAGCGACCTCAGTTTCAGTGACTAATTCACAGGTAAATTAAAGTTTGACTTTATAATTTATACACACTCTTTCCTTATTTCTGTTTTTACTACACAAGCTATAGCATCATCCGGTGATTCTGAAGCTGCTTTGTTTTTCTTTAAATATTAATTTAATGCTCTTTCTTTAGTTTTAATGCTAGCCTTTGCCTGCACACACATGCTTTTAATAGAGTAGTCATAAAAACTAAGCAGGCATTCATTGACTTTTGCTTTGCGAGGACTATGTGGAAAAGATATGTCTCAAGTCCTACTGTATGCCATTGACTGCAAGGGGAATGACCTGTGCTCGGACCTCGATCTTGTAATACACCAGAGCTCATGAACGGATTTCTGTGCTCACATAGATTCCCTCTTCCCCAGTAGAGACCCGCACACAGAACTCACTCCACAATTTGCTGTTATCCATAGAGTACATGAACTCAATCATTTTACTAATCATCAGTTATACAGAATATCACTGGCATCAAACTTTCTGAAAAAGAGAAACGTGAAGAAGTATCAGGAACCCTATGACTTGCATAGATAGTTTTCATGTTATAGCAAGAGTTGGGTCAGGGGGAAAATGTCAAAATAAAGCAAATGTAATTTTTATATACACATACTTTTCTTTGTGTATGTGTATATATATATAAATGTGGGTATATATACTGATGTATATAAATGTATGTATATTTTCTTACTGTGTTGGAAGTTATCTGTCATGATACCCGTGTTCAAGGGCAGAGCACTTATAATTACAAAAAGCTGATGCATTGTGTAAAGTCTTGCTCTTAATAGCCTGTCACAGCTGTATTTCTTCTAAGTACAAAAACTATACAAAACAATGTACATAGCTGTACATGCACATTTACTGAGCTGTAAAGCAATGCTGGTTACTCTGGCTGTGTTTTCACGCTGTAGAGTGGTATTATTTTAAACAAAGAAACATACCTGTCTTTTCCATTGGCACACCTGAGGATCTCTTTCACGTTCTACAGTACTTTCAGGGCTTGCAGGAGAAGTGAGCCGTGATATGCAAACAAAACCTCACTTCTTTCCCTAATAGGACTTTCCATGTAGTTTTCTTTCAAGAGTTTCTGTCTTCATCAGTTTGATAGCAGCAGCTCTGCACAAGTGGTTTGTGGGCTCTTTCCCGATGCCTCTATTCCTCTGTAGTGTCTCCCAGTGTCAGCCTGCTGTCCCTGGCCTCTCTTTTCGGGGAGGGGGTTGAGAAGTCCATTTAAACGCTCTGATCATGTCCCAGCTCTGATCACTCACAAGGCAGAAATCAGGAAGTGACCGCACAGACTTCGATACTGCAGGCTAACCACTGCATGTCCCTGAAACAGCTGTTGTTAGAAGAGGCTGAGTCACCTCATAGATCAGGTTACAAGACTACCTGAAGAAAAGCTCTTTGTTTTCCCACCCCTTTTGTCCATACTGGTCAGAAATACTGCTGGAGGCCGAGCAAAGCCCTGCTGTCAGCAGGATGTTGCATAGTTCAGTAAGAAAAAGGAACACAGCGGACTAGTGCACTTCTGTTCACTTTAGGGCAACAGGAGATGTGAGACAGCATATTGCATCATCCCACACAATCTGCTTGTAGGCAACAGTGGGTTACAACATTACAATGCAATACATACATCAAACTTCACTATAGCTTTTTTGTCTGTCTGTCTATCCTGGAATCTGATTTCCATGATGGCAAATGTTACAATTTCTAGCTTAAACATACTCGTGGCCATTTATGCTGAATCTCTTCAGCTTTGATGATTCTTTTTAATCTATGAGGTCTTCACTTTTGTAGGCTAAAGCGACCAAACTCTTCTTGTCTCCCCTCAAGTGGAGACTCCATTTCCCTTATCGCTTCCTGCTCACCGTTGTCTGCACCTGTTGCAATATAATTTATACTTCCTTGGGTACAAGGGACCATCCAGTGGTATGTATACACTAAAGACATATGCAAACTGGAGTGCTTTTGGTGGGGAATGATAAAGCTGGTCAACAAAACTAATGATTTCTTTGAAAGCAGCTGAGCAGACACCAGCTGTGAGGACAGGCTTGACTCAGTGTGTCAACATACAAATGATTCAGACAGGGTGGAATGAGGCACGAACTGCTGCTAGGAGCCAACAGGATAAGATTAAGAGGAAAAAAAAAAAAACCCTAAAGTGAACATCAGGAAAATCTTCCTGCCCATGAGAAGTACCACACTGGGAAACATTTACAGTAGGAGAAAATGCACAAGAACACTGTGATGAACCATCTTTCCCTGCAGGAATGGAGGGCACATTTCTATTCCCAAAAAGAAAGGATCTCCAAGTTGGTTTGAGGGTTTTCTGACACCAGCAGTGGCTGTCATGTCCCAATTTCTGAAACTAGCATCTCACTACATCCACTGGGAAAGATCACCTCCCTGTGTGCTAATTCACTTCACGTGTTCAGGCATCTCAGCTACGCAGTCTATCAAAAATCCCAAGCTTTTCTGTTGGTAAGGAACTCATTGAATTTGACAGCTCTTTTCCACTTGTGCTTAACAACGGAGTGGCCAGGGATGAAACGGAGACAAAGCAACCCATGTTCGTGACATGGGCTCTGCTGGCCCTAAACACTCGATGCCCACTGCAGTTCAATGAGAATGTGGAAGGGGAATATCTGATAATCTCCACTCCCTGGAACTGGGAATATCCTTAAGTATGAAGCACCAATTACAATGGTTAGGCTGGGCTAACTTGAATGTTCTGACATCAGTATGTTAGGTGATATGTTGCCCATTCAGAAATTCTTTCACCACTTTAGGTTGTTGAATGATAGTGGAAATACCTCATGGCAGCATGACAGCATCCCTGTAATCTGGTGAGAAGGCAAATGTAGTTTTGCAGTGACCTAGTTTCCTCTTCCTAGAAAGCAAATCTTTAACTTTTTTTACAGCAGCTATGAAGGAAGAGGGGACAGCAGGGTTATCCCAAAACAAAGCAGGATAACTAGAGCGAGGTGGGCTGAAAACATGAGCATTACTTTGTCATCGGCCCAGGCTGTGCTGTGAAGACGCAATATGTCATGACGGCCAGGCCCAGCCATGCTGCCGTTAGCTGCTAGACTGGGCCTTGCTGTGTTGGTTGCTGTCTCCTCCATGGCATACTTCTGAACACATGTCCTGCTCCTGCCATGCGGACTTGCGCGTCTGCTTCTTGCAGTACGTCATGGACAGCACAGGCCAGGCTTAGCTTTGGAGTTTAAAAATAATAAATGCCTTCCCCTTTCTATCCAGTTAAATGGTTTGTGACCATCTGCTGAGTGCTCAGTGTCACACTTGTTTATATCTACTCTTCCTTCTGTGTAGACCTGGGGCAAGGTTAGGAACAGAACCAATTTTGGAACAAAATAGTTAAAGTGGCATCCCACACAGCATCCACTGGTGAGAGATTAATGTGGATTTTTGTACTTTGCCTCATTGTGACTCCTTAATCCTGCATATATTCCAAAGAAATAATGCCATTAGAGGATTAGTGCCACAAGTTCATTTGAAAAAAAGGATTTGCAAACACTGAAATCCTATATTCTATGTACTTAATCACTGAGCATCATTTTGGGGATTTCCTCTCCCTTTAGTAGTGTCTCTTTCAATGAAACCCAAGCAAAGTAGCAACTCTGTTTTGGACAGCCCTTATTATCCATTAAAGGAAAACAAAACCCCAAGCATCTGGTTAAAATAATACAGAATCTAAACACACTGGACTAAACCCATCCTTGCTGTCATACAATCATTGCAGTTATACCAGGGAGACACTTGGCCCAATATTTATACAGAATGTAATGATTTGGGATATCTATCTGCTAGGGACTTTTAATATTGTGAGTCCTGTAGCATGTAGTAGCACAGTGACCCTTGTTTGCTTCTAAGGCAGTTCCCTGTCCCACCTTTGCTCACACCCAGTGAAGCCACTGTTCTCCTCTCTGTGGGAGAAGGAGACTGAATCACTGCCATGTTATTCTTTCTCCCTCTCCTTAGCATGCATCTCTGCTGCTCTGTTTCCCCTTTCTGCATGACTGTCCCTGCCTGCAGCAGCCTCCATGAGCTTCTCTTGCTTGGCTCGATTTGCTGCAGGCTGCCTAGGTGAAGTGGGCTGTTGCATGGGCCAAGAAATTGCTAGGGGTGGAAAAATGCTTATTGCCCCATTGCTGACTACCAGTGCCACGTGACTTTCTCTTGGGCTGTGCTGACTCAGAATACCTGTGCCAGGAGCTGCTGCCAAATGAGGGCAGGGTAAGAGTGGCCTGCTCCAGTACCAGGTTCACTGCCCTCATCTTTCTCAGCCACGTACATCAAACTATGCCCCTCACAGCCCCCTCCATTCTCTCGCTCCTGCTGTGTCCCTTCCCTTTATCCTCTGACTTTCATCAAGCTCTGACCCCTTACAACTGAGGCAGCAAAATTCAGTCTTGCCTACATAGCTGAGAAGCCTTCAGCTGGCACTGATGGTATTTTGCTAGCACCACAATATGTGTCATCCGCTAATTTGATGTTGACTCTCTTTACACCCAGGCAATTCACAGAGCAGCAGGGATCGGCTTTAAGGCCAGACAAAAACCTTCAGAAGAGACTGCACACACGATGGGCTGGAAGGACCATTCCCCACGGATGAATGAATAGATGCAGCTGCACTCAACTAGCGGGAAGTGCTCTGCAGAGCCTAGGTTAGGAACCGTAGCTCGAGCTTCCAGGTAGAGCTCAGCAGTGTGCTGCCATGTGGATAAACACTTTTCCCATATATTCTTACACTCTCAGAAATATTGTGCAACACTGACACTTCCCTGGAGCAAACTCATTCCAGACTTCCCTACACTGAGATCAGTGTGCTTGCCTGAGGATTCTATTTGGTCCAAAGTGTCCGAGTATCCTCATAATTTCCTACAAAATAAATATTAGACCTTCTGATTTTAATAGCCCATCAGCCTACAGTAGCTCCTGAGGCAGCTGTTTAAAGTACATTTCACTGGGTTATGAAAACTAAATGCAACCCCCTCATTCCATATTTATGTGCAACCATACACTGATAACAGGAGGGGTTTGAAGAAGCACAGAGAACATACAAAACCAGCTAAAACCCTTGGCTTCAGAAACGCATACACCTCTGAGTAGCCTTAAAATGTCACCTAAACTCAGTGAGACTTTTCATAGGTGGAAAGGCTGAGGAAGATTTTGATTCTTCACTGTACTTTTACACTTTAAAACATAACAAAAAGTCAAGTTATGAAACTCTGGTGCTAGCATGTAAAGGTGGGCTCTTCCTAACCTGAAGGGGCTGCACACTTGGCAGGACAATCTTGCAAATGCATGTGCTGGATGAACTGGTTGTGAGGAGAGGTGTGTAATGGCCTCTGTTGCCTCTGATTTATTATAGTTAGAAGAATTTCAACCTTGCATATACCAGCACAGGCTGCTAAACATGAACTGTAGAATTCTAAAACATATTCTTTTTTTCACAGCCAGAATTTACCTTATCTACTATGAAACAATAGCAATGATAAGTAGATTTTTCCAACTATCTCATATTGAATATGCATTTTGATTCCATAAAAAGCATGACTAAAAGATCTATTGCAGCAAATGTATATTTATATCCACAATGCAGATATTTTTAACACTTTGATGTTGAGTTACTCTTTTTTGAATGGAACTACACAAATACAAACTTTATGTTTCATTCTCTATTACAATATATTAGTCTGATAGAGAAGATTTTCAGGCTGGAAATTTCTTTTTGGTTGAACTTATGCCAGGATTAATCCCCTTTCAGTTAATCATTTATATGAATGGGTAATCTTCAGAGTTCATGCAAGGCCTGCAAACTATATTAATTACTAGAAACCTAATTAGAAATCAACAGAGTCAAAGGATCAGTGTTACTTCCATACGGTACCATCTGGTACAATGGGTCTGGATAGTTCAGCAAAACTCCT